GCTTCGTGTGTTGCATCATCTCAATATTCAAATTTCGTTTGCCGCACTTACTCTTTCAACCCACCTCGGAAGCAGGGTTCATAGAGTTGACTCCGAGATAGATTTACTCATACTTTTGGAACGAATAGACTCCGCCCATATGGTCAGTTACCTCGCGTTTTGGAACAGCGTAGAGTTAAACTCTGTTACTCGGAGTAAATTTTGGAACGCACCCATGAATGACTTTCCATCCAGGTAGCAAACACACGTCATTTTGACATCAAATTCTGGTCATGTTGGTACGAATGGCGTCAAGTGACCAAAAATTGACCAACCGATGTTATGACGACGTCATAATGACGTTAGAATGACGTCATATTTTGGTCTTCCTTAATTCTTCATTTTGGAAACGTCCTAACATGATGTCATTTTGATGTCGTCGCGATAACACATAATTTGCGAAATTAGAGAGAGAGAGAGAGAGAGAGGACGTCATTAAGACGTTATTATTAAGACGGCAACAAGACGTCAACAGTGATTATTAGAGTGAACAGACATATATATATATATAAATACCCAAAGTAGTAATAAATTTGACGTTATTTGTAAATTATTTGTTTTCTATATTTATGTCTTAATTGTTGAGATCTCAACACAGATAGAATGAAGCTGATGGCGTTTGTCATTTTGACGTTAATTGCAATGACGTCAATAATTTTGTGACATTAGAACGTCATTATGACGTCATTAAGACGTCATTTAGTGACGTCAGCCATGGTCAGTAAATGACCAAAATTTGACGTCAAAATGACGTGTATTTGCTACCTGGGATGTTTTCGTTCGGGCGGTCTGATTGGCCCTGAGAGTGACGTCACACTTTGACTGCGCAGTGGGTGTCCACGGCATGAGCATACCCTTATCTTTATATCATGGTCCGAAATACTCCGAAATCCGAATTTCATAAACAGCACGGATTATAATCCGGATTGGTCTAGGAACATTTAGAGTCTTCAGATTGAGTACCACTGCTCAATCCGATTTTAGGGATCCGATTATTTCACGTACCTTGTTTTCCAACAAGGACACAGTCAGACACTGTGTTGTTTGCCAACGTTAAACAAGGATGAAACGACTCACTGTGTTACACAGTGTCTGACTATGTCCTTGTTGGTAAACACCCTCTATTTCTAGGAACACTAGGCCGGTGGGTGGCCACTCACCGGCAGTGTTGTTAGGTATGCCGCCTTTTTAGCGCATGCGCGTTCGAGTATAGCTCACTGCAGTATTATATTCGGATTTTTACGGGTCCTGCAGGTGCCCAATGTTGACATTTTTATGAAGTTACATAAAATTTTTTGAAAAATCAACAATGTATTATAAAACTAAATGGTAAACCTTCGGATGAGCTGCATATTCGAAACGAAACAAACGACCACGTGTTTTTGATGTATTTTTGGCTCCTGAAAACAAATATGACAGCAGAAATTGGCGCTCGGCCGTATCTTGGCCGCAATTTCGAAAAAACATCGAAAAAACGTGATTTTTTTTAGTTTTTTGTATTTATTTCGAAATATACGAATCGTACAAAAAAATGTTTCAAACAAAAATTGTAGAGCATGAAATTCTCTATAAAAAAGATTCTACACACTTTTGTCCTAATCACAAAAGGAAGCCCGTAAAACAGCGATGAAAGTGACTAGTTACACGTTTGTGCGGCCTTTACTTACACGTTTATGCTCTGTGATCACATGTGCATGCGTTGTACGTACTTTTCGGTAAGAGTGCACGAAATTTAAAGTCATAATCCATTAAATTAATAACCATTAATAACCCATGTGGATAGTGGGATGTATAGACAGTAATGCTTGGGTTCGGGCGGCTACGCCGCCCGAACGAAATAAAATAACATATCCTACCCGCTTGGGGCCTAACCGCCTAGAAGTTACAGCTGAGACAGTGTCTGCTTGGAATATTTTTAACCCATTGATATTTGGGGTGAGAATTCCAAATGGGTTTTTACTGTCTTTAAAAAGTCTTCTCACACCCCACTGTCTTCATTGGGTTAGGAATATTCCAAGCAGACACTGTCTCAGCTGTAACTTCTAGGTGGTTAGGCCCCAAGCGGGTAGGATACGTTAT